TCATTTCTTACCCTTTAGCTGCAGGATTTCCAACCGTCCTGAGCTTCACTCCATCTCAGTACTTGCTCTAATTTACATTTCCTTCTGGCAGATCATCCTGGAAGTCTGAGCGCTCCAAGCCACCCCTGAAAGACCTAGGCCAAGAGGATGATGCACTGCCCTTGATTGAAGAGGTTCTGGCCAATCAGGAGCAGGCAGCCAATGAGATGCCCAGCCTGGAGGAGTCAGAACGGGAAGGGGCCACAGCTGACATCAGTGAGAGTGAGAAGAAGCCAGAGGAAAGTAGTCAAGAATCCCAACCTGCCTGTACCCCTAAGGAACGCCGGCATAGCCAGCGGGAACGACTCAACCAGATCTTGCTCAATCTCCTAGAAAAAATTCCTGGGAAAAATGGTAAGAAGAGTTACTTGTATGCAGGGTTTAAGATAAATGGGAATTAGTAGAAAGGGCGTGACAATAAAAACTCCTATTTACTTGCCCCGAATGAAAATGTTGTAAGGAAACATTAGTTTTTTCATGGGTTTTTATTTAGTTGGGAATGCAGTTGGGAAGTGAGAGGATCTCCCTGGAAAGCTTCTTCCCTTGAGGGCTCCAGAAAGGCCTCCATCAATCATAGGGACGATCAAAGGAATCACTGTACTCTTGCCCCTCCTTAGGTCTCAGATTTAGAATAAGGTGATATTTGATAAACTCCCTGATTCTCTTTACAGCCATTGATGTGACCTACTTGCTGGAGGAAGGATCAGGCAGGAAACTACGAAGGCGTACTTTATTTATGCCTGAAAACAGCTTTCGGAAGTGAACCTCAGGATGAGAACCTCCAGCATCTGGGATCCAATGGAGCCAGCTGTCCTGCGTCCTGTTCTGAGTGTAGACTAGGTGGGGAAGGTCCATCGAGCAGGGGAACAGGCGCGTTGTTGCGATTAGGTACTTACTAAATCTTGAAGGTCTTGGAGAGGAAGAGGAAGAGGATCTGTCTGAAGCAGTTCGGTTGAACTGTTTTCCTCTCCACTGCTTTTTCCTGAGGCTTAGTCATGCCAGGAGGAAGGCAAAGCACATTGGGGATGACCAGGACTTTGAGGTACTTTACATACAGCACTTGCTCCTCCTCCCAGCTTGGATTTTTCTGTGTCATCCATCCTCTGGTCCCACAGGCACTGCTAAGAAGCTGCTTCCTATACGTGGGTATGACTCAATCTGAGGGATAGGGCCGGGATCCCAACTTCTATCCCTGTTCTTTCTAGGCTCTAAGAGCTAGCCCAGACCTAAAACAGAAACAGTAGCTGGGGCCTCTTTCCACATCCCTGACTAGAGAAGTTTTCTTCTTTCTTGCCCAACCAGGTCAGAATAAAACGTGAGTCGACGACTCAGCACTTGGACCTGCTGCCCTCCTCCCTGCCTGACTCCTCCAAGTAGGTCACAGGATAGGGAAGGCCCCCAGGGGTCATGGTATAAATGAGTTTTGTTTTAACCTTTAGATCCTGTCGAACTTATATTTTACTAATGAGAAGGCCAGGCCCCTGCCAGCAAGTGTGCTGTTTCTGCGCCGTGGTTCTTGTATGTCTGCCGTGCTGTGCGAATGGAGAGTCATTTCTAAAAATCATATTAAAATCTACAGAAAACTCTTAACACCCCTTCCCGACAAGAATCACTACATAAACTGTTGAGCAGTATTCACCTATCAGAGTATTTGTTGTGGATGTATATTATCAATTGAAAACACTACTCTTGTTTTTAAATATACAGTTTTCAGTGTCCATCTCTTCAGAGACAGTGTGTTTTCCCCAGCCCCAGCCCCCGCTTTCCTCCACCCTCCTGATGCTGAAGTGTCAGCCGTCAGAAGGGAGATCCAGGGTGTCTCCTTCCCGTTCTCTGACCAGAAGTTACCAGACAATGCTGACTGTCTCTCTTAAAATTTAAAAAGCTTTGCTTTGTTGTCTTCTTAGACACGTATGCATATATGTTTTAGATGTTCTTATAAGAGAAAAGATGGTTTTTAAATGTGCCAAGTTGTGTGTACATGTATATATATACATATATATACATATACACACACATATATATATATACATATATATATATATCTGCTACGTGATTAGTAAGCAATACAATAGTAAACATGTCCCCATTACTTTTTTCTAATAATGGACCAATGCTGTCCTAATTGTACATTTCCCCTTATGATGACGACGCTCTGACTTGTTTAGGTAGAAACATTGACCATCTTCCATTCCATTGAATCTTTTTTTTTTCTCCTTTCTGTGTCGATCTTGAGGAAAAAAACAAAACAAAAAAAAAAAAGACAGGGGACACCAAAGATCCCCTTGAGCAGAGAAGAAGCAGAATAAATATTTTATTAAAGAAAAAAAAGAATTAAGAAAATAGTTTGGAGTATTTTCTTACTGTAGAGAAGCACTGTACATTACTAAGAGACCTGGGTATAAGATACTCACGTGTGGAGCTGGAAAAATCGCATGTCCATGCCCGTTTGAGTGATTTCTTTTGGTTTTCGTTGCAGGGAACGGGGTGGGAGGGAGGTGGGTATAGGGGCACTTTGGGGGTCTCCTTTTAGTCAAAAGCAGGAAAATAACAAGAAAGAGATTAAAATTCAATATTTCCTTTAAATAGTGTTAAACACTAAAATTTTAAAAAAGAAAAAAACTTTGTAAAATGCAAGAACAGAAGCAAAAGACACTACGCTCTGTCATTTTATCTTTCTTTTGTTGAAAGACTAAAAACTGAAATGTTTTTTAGACAATCAAATGTTAGGTAAGTGCAAAAACTTGTTTTTTCTTACTGGTGTAGAAATTAATGCCTTTTTTTATTTTTTGGTTATTTTATAACAAAATAAAAGAACCCCCTAGCTGCCAGGTGGGTTTTGGTGTTTGAAATGCGGGGCAAAGCACTACATCACTGCAAATAGATCCAGAGTTAGTCTGCATGTCTGTAGGCTGTGTGATTGCGGAAAATATAAATGCTGCTAATATATTTCCTTTTTACAAAAGCATATCTAAATAGATGATTGTTTTGATGTTAATCTTTGTAAATTATGTATTACCAATTTTAACATTGGATGTAATTGCATAAAAAGCTTGCATCTCAATCCTTGAAAGTCTAGTATTAAATGGAAAAAAACTTTTCCTAACTGCAGAGTGGTGAGCCTTCTGTTTTTTTCCTCTTTCTTAACTAATTCTTCCAGGACCCTCCTCCAGCCTGATTCTAAGGAAAGAATTTTAAAACTACACATTGGGGTAGAGATAGCTCGCAGCAGATCACTTGGCTTGCAGGTGGGAGGCCTGGCTTCCATGCCCAACACCAAAGAAATCAGGACGCAAACATCACAATAAATTAGTAAATCTGTATGTTCAGCCTCCCGGGCCCCAAAGGAACACTCACTGCTATTAACTCTTGGATAAAGCCATTTCCTCAGTCTCCATATTATAACCAACCATCATACAGATAAGAAAACTGCCAACAGGAAGATTATCTTGGCCAAAATCATCTAACGTGTTCATCTTCATAATAGCCCTCTATAATTATCTCGTTCTATAGAGACAGAAATTGAAGCCCAGTGTTATGATGTCAAACATAAAAATGAAACTTCTTTTGCAGTAGTAACCTTAAACTAAAGAAGCTTCACAAACCTAAGTACTCAGCCTACTTAATTATAACAAGGGGGCTGGATGAGCGATAGTACAGAGGGGAGGGTGCTTGCCATGCACAGAGTTTACCTGGATGCAATCCTTACCATCCCATATGGTCCCCTGACCACTACCAGAAGGAATTCCTGTCCTGAGTGCAAATCCAGGAGTACAAGAGTCATACCTGAGCATCGCTGGGTGTGACCCAGAAACTTAAAATTAAATGTTGGGGGAGGGGGGCTGGGATTATGGGGGCCAGAGAGATAGTACAAGAGGGAGAGCATTTGCCTTTAACACAGCTAACCCTAGTTTGATCTTCAGTGCCCTTATGGTCCCCTGAGCCTGCCAGGAGTAAGCCCTGGGCACAACTGCCTGTGACCCAAAAAACAAGTAACAAGGTATTTCCAAAGGTCCTCGGATTTCAGTCTGAGAAACATTTCTCCTAAAAAAAAATGGAAAAAAAAAAAGTTCTGCTCTAAAATTGAAAGCCAAACACCAAAAAGGCAACAAAGTAAAGAATAGATGAATACTGCTAGAAAGAAGAGAGTCTTGGAAAATGACCAAGTAGGGGATGTTGAATATAACCAAGTTTGCACCTGAGCATTTTCAGAGCCTGGCTCGAAAATTTTTATGTGCATTGTCTCATCTTTTCCCTTCTGTCACCATCCCATGATCCTCCTAAACCAAATTCCCAAAGATGAAGACTTCTAGATTTCTGTTATTTCACCCAAACTCTACTGATGCCTGGTCAGGAAAGTTGTCTATTTTGGTGATTCTCCTTGAGGCATCATTAGTGATTTCCAACCCTATCCTCTAAAGCAGTGGTTGTACCTATCACTGCAGAATGGTGACAGTAAAAGGAAAAGTCACTCACAGTTCTACTTCCCTGAGCCTCAAATACCATTTTTGTATGTATAATCTTGAAAGCTTGGGGGTTTTTTTGTGTGTGGGGGGGGGGGGTTGTTTGTTTGTTTGTTTGTTTGCTTTTTGTGTCACACCTGGCAATGCACAGGGGTTACTCCTGGCTCTGCACTCAGGAGTTACTCCTGGCGATGCTCAGGGGACCATATGGGATGCTGGGAATCGAACCCAGGTCGGCTGCGTGCAAGGCAAACGCCCTATCCACTGTGCTATCTCTCCAGCCCCTTTGAAAGCTTTCTAAGTCTTCCCTATTCTCATTTATCCAGGCTCTTTCCACATCAGTTTAACAAAAGAAAATCAGGTCTCAGTATAGCACCACCTTCCGAGACTCAGGAGTCTCCACTGCTCAGGGAACATTTCCCGTAGGAGGGCTTCTCATGTCCCATCTCCCTCCCAAGCATCTCCCCATCTTAAAACTTACAGCAGTGATAACAAATACTCAACTCCCACACTTTATTGGGACATAAAAGGAAGGAGGCAGACCAACACCACAGGCCCACCCACCAGGGGTGTCCAGACCTCAGCACCTCAGTTTGTGAGTACATCATAAATACAGGCAGTAGGGACGGGGTGGTGGGAAGATTCCATACATAGGAGAGGACTAGTGGCCCTTGTAGTGCTGGGAACTGAGTCATACTGTATTGGCAGAGCCCACTCACATACAGAGAAGAGGGTAGAAGTACGCTAGATTTTCATTTTGCAGAAGGAGACATTCCCTTCTACAACAGATGGGAAAGGAAAGCAATTGCATGAAGGGAAATTCCTTTTTCTATATTCGGAAGAGCAGAGTCCATCTTGCCGGTGGACATGTAAAGGAAGAAGGAAAGGTTCTTTTACATAACTAGCAGAGATAGAGGTGGTAGGAAGGTGTCCTTTGGCAGACGGGTAGCTTCTGGGATGATCAGTTTACATGGGTGAGTGTTCGTGGGCTCCCTTCCCAAGCAGCAGGAAGGAGGACCATAGGTAAGTCAGGAAGAGTTCCTCGTCCTAAAGAACCAGGGAGGTATACCCCACGGGCACTAGCCCCTCCACACCATCGCGCCCACAATGGAGCCAGTCCTCATCCACGGTGGCAATGATCTGCAGTACTTCTCCACGCCGGAAGCTCAGCTGGTCGGGTCCTGCCGCCGTGTGATCACAGAGCGCCCGGACTGCCCTGTGGAGAGCCAGAGAGAGATGCTGGGATGACATGAGGTGTGGTGCTCTGCTGGTCAGGTGAAGGGTCTCTTGCTTCAACTCAGTAGAACAGTGACTGAGCTTTGTGAGATGTGGGGACTTTTATAAACAGAATGAATCTCACTGGGGCCCCGGGTTCTTCCTGAGCTATAAACCCATTCCTTGGCTATTTACTTGACATGATTTGGGGGGAGGAGGTTGTGTGCTAAAATCCAGCTATGCTCAGGGATCACTCCTGGTGAACTCACAGGACCGTGTGTGGGGCCAGGGATCAAACCTAGGTCTGCCATGTGCAAGACAAGAGTCCAGCTGTCCTTTATCTGGCATTCTGCCATACATGATTTGGTGTGTATGGTACTCAGCAAGTGACTCAGCCCTCCAAACAGTTCCCCCTTGTGCGACCTTCCGTTTGCTCACAGCACTACCTTCTATCCAGTTGCTCCTGGCAAAAACTGGTGTCTCGTTCTTATACTCATCTGATCCTCAGAACATGTCTTATATTTTTACTTACACTACACCAGCTTACTCTCAAGCTCCACCGCCACCATCCTAATTTAGGTCTGTGTGTAAGATCATCTCACAGAATCTCTCCTGGCCTCCCTACCCCAGCTCTCTTCCCTCTGTAGTCATCAGATATTCTGTGAAAACATCAGCTAACATATGGTTCCCAGGTTGAAATTCTTCAGTGGCTTCTATTGCCTTGTGGTAAAGTCTAGGCCCCTTAAATGACTTTAGAACACACACACACACACACACACACACACCATCACTGTTGCCCATATCCACTTCTTCAGCCACAACCAACCTCATCCCCACAGCAAAGTCTAGGCCCTTTAAATGACTAGAACACACACACACACGCATCACTGCTGCTCACATTCACTTCTTCAGCCACAACCAACCTCATCCCCACAGCTACACACCAAATGTGGGCTTCTCTGTCTCTGCATCCTGTACTTTCCTAATGCCAGATGCACTGTCTCCAAATGGCCCTGAGCCCTCAGCCTGAGAAAGAAGCCCTGTCCAGATGATCCTGGTGACTCAGTCATCCGACATTTAGAACTCCAATGTATTCTCTGTATTCTCTGCCCTTGCATGATGTGTTTACAAAAACCAGAATAAGAAATTAAAATAAGAAATTCTGGTTTTTGTAAACACATCATGCAAGGTGTGTTTGAGAGAACCCAAAGAACACCAAACGCCAAAGGATCCCCTGATGCCCAGTTAGAAGTACCTCGCAGGGAAGCACGTTCCTCAGTGGACACGAGACTGCCAACTGCACATAAATGCTACCAAAGTTATTACTCTGAGGAACTAGAGATAGGACAGCGGGGAAGAGGCTTGCCTTGCACAAGGCTGACCTGGGTTCCAATCCTCCATATCTCACAAGGTCATCCGAGCCCCTCCAGGAGTGATCCCTGAGCAATACTGGATGTGACCCAAAAACCAAAACAAAGCATTTCCACTACCTGGGCACTTGCCAGACACCATGGACTTTACATAAAATTACATTCAGTCTTTGCAACAGCATAACAGCCTCTTTTCACAGAGAAAGAAAGGGGGGTTCATACCCAAAAGCAAAGATGCACAACAGCTAAGCAGGCCTCAGCACTCACCGTGACCGACTCACCACTCGCTGGGTAGGTCCCTTACAAGCACTCATTCTCCGGAGCCCTGCACCTGGACCCCTCAACTATGTTTGGACCCCCTCACCTGTGCATGATCCCCCCACTGTGCATGAGCCCTTCACCTGTGTGTCTGCACCCCGCTGGGTGCTGGGGCCTCAAGCTCCTCGGGAGAGCTGGGAGTCTCGGGAGGTGCTCCCCGCTTCACCAGAGCCAACACATTCACGGTTGGAGACAACCAGCTGGAGGGTCTCCTGGAGGAAAGACATGGAGACAGGGGTGACAATCTGGCCTGAACAGGAACCCAGGACTTTGGGGGTGGGGAAGAGTCTGAGGTGGGGAAAGGCTGGTTCACTGGGCTCAAGGTTCAGTCAATGCAGTAGACAGAGCAAACACTGGGGGTGCAAGTGCTCTCAGGGGACACAAAGGAGCTGGACACAGGTCTGCAAGACCCAAGTCACAAGGAGATCCCAGGGACAGCTGCCAGTGGGCAGGTCCCAGCAAGGGACTCTGGCAAATCCCTCCTTCCAGAAAGGCAGGGAGTGGCTCCACGCCACCAGCATATCAGAAAGGCGGGAGACCACCCAGCTTTGGCTGTGGCAGATAAGGCAAACAGTGACTCCTGTAGAGATGCACAGGCCCACTCAGATGGGGCTTCTAAGCCTTTGTTCGGGACTAAAAATAAAGGGTGGCCAACCCCCTGCCTAAGGGTTATATCGGGTATGTGGGAGCTCCGAAGGGACCAGAGAGGGTGGAGGAAACGAGGCACCCCATTACCTGGACTTTAGGGCTCCACTCTCAGCTTCTGACAGTGCCCCAGGCACTCCAAAGAGTCTCCCAAGCCAGAGGCCTCTGCCCAGGGCCGCCTCCTCTGTGGGCGGGGACCTCTCCAGGGTATCCTCGGCTGCCGGCCCAGGCTGCCTGCACCCCCATCGGGGAAGACGGAAGCCCTCAGCACCCCCAGAGGCATAGACCCGGGAGGCCTGGGTCAGCTGATCCCACCAGCTGCTGGGAGCAGATGCACCTGAGGGTGCTGAAGGGGCAGGTGGCGTCTCGCCTGCGCCACCCCGGAGGCTCTGAGCCAGCCGCCCCCCCCAGTGCAGCATGGCTTGCACAGTCTGCTGCAGCGCAGGTGGCGAACCGGGCAGGGCGGGGGCCTGTGGTGGGCCCAACGGCAGGTGATGGTGGTGCTCAAAGAGCAGGTCCAGGTGAAAGGTGAGCACGGACAACGGCTGCAGCAGGAGCAGTAATTCTGTGGACAGTGCCGGGCAGCCGGCCCGGGCCAGCGAGAAGAAGCCAGTGGGCAGGTAGAGGAGGGACAACAGGCCTGCAGGGACAGTGATGACATCAGCCCTCGACCCCCAGAGCCCACATCTGCCCAGTCAACCACCATCTCCGTAGGACAAGGCACAGAGTGAGGGGCCTGGGGTCAAGGGCGGTCTAGCCTAGAGGGGAGTTGATGATGAACAGGAGGAGAGGGAGGGCTGGGGGACATGGGAGCAAAAGGGGAAATGGGAGTTCTAGACTGAGGGTTTGGTAGAACCTCAATGAGGGGCCAAAGAAAACAGAAGCAAGTGGAAAACCGGCAAAGGACAAGCTCCGGGGAGGGGAATGTGAGCCTCAGGGACAACAAGGAGATCTGAGGTAAGATGATCCCAGCACCAGGGACCAAGCAGAAGACAGGCTCCCCCCATCCCGAAGGCCCCACCCCCTCAGCTTCTGACCTGCATCCTCCTGGAGCCTGGAGAACCACAGCTCCAACTGCTTCGTGCTGGGGAAGAGAGAGGGGAATCGGAGCTCATGGGGGAAGGGGAAGCTTCTCTGGGAACCAGGGCCACCACTACTGTCCCACCAGGGTTCCCCTGAGGTCCCCAAGCACTGAAGCGGGGTGGCGGCCACAACTCACTTGAGTAGGCCCAAGATGAAAGCGTGAAAGCGGCTGCGGCTGCTGCTCAGGGGCCCCAGGCGGCTGACCTGGCTGTACAGGGTTCCCAGGGCGCGGGGGCCGCTGCCTGGAGACAGGATGCTGTCAGCACCCGGCTTGGCTCGGGCCCCTCTCCCGGCTCCCGCCAGACGCTCCCCTTCACCTGGCTTCACCGAAGCTTCCACCACGCTCCAGGGGCTGCTTCTGCGCTGCCCGGTGATGAGGTCTTTGCGGAAAGGCTTGAGACCGTCGGCAACCAGGGCGTGCAGGGCCGGGCACAGGGTGGTGAGCACCAGGTGGCCCACGTCGGGGCTCAGCCGGCTATCCCCCAACTGCGCCTGCAGACGGGGGCAAAGGTCTAGCGACGCTCCAGCCCCTCCTAGCCTGCGCCCCCAGCGACATTCTAACTGCGGGCCCCGATACCTCCCCAGAGGTATCCTCACCTTCTGAACCAAGTTCCTGGCGGCCCCAAAGTGCGAGATGATTTTATCCACCGCGGCGCTCACGGCGATCAGGAGCCCTGCGGAGGGAGAAGCGCCTGGTCTCCCGCGCAAAACGCCGCCTCGATCTAATCTAGGCCTGTGCGGATGTGGGGGGGGGGGGGGGGGGCACTGACACCGGCCCCGGGTCCGAGTCGGGCGTCCTACCTTTCTTCTGCTCCTGCAGTTGGCCAGGCCCATTCCGGGCTTCTGCCATCCACAGCCGCTGGGCCCCGGGGACGCCGGCAAACGACCAGGAACTGCGGACTAGGGGTGAGGGAAGAAGAACGCGGTGACACTTACCAAGGGTCACCCCGAGGCCTGCGGGATTACAAACAGGTCGTCTCGGCAGGGCGGGCACGGGGCACGCGGGGGCCCTACACGCACCCCGACACTCGCAGCCTCTTTTCCCCTGCAAGCCCCGGGGTCCTCGGGGCCGGCCCCCACCTCCTGGCTCCCGGCTCTCGCCTCCAGCCCCGCAGTCCTGAAGGGCGGGAGGCGACAGGCCGCGGGAAGGAGGGCGGCGGGCCGGGAGCACGTGGGGAGCCGGGGCCAATGGAGAGACAGACAGACGGGAAGGGCGGAGAGACGGGGAACAGCCCCGGACCCCGAGGCTGCAGGACGCCGGAAAGGGGAAGCCGGGCCGCCTCGCCGTGGGCTGGCCAGGGGTGGCGGCGGTGCCTCAGAGTGACCAGAGCCTTTTCCGTCCAGGGGCCTCGGGCAGCTTTACCCTTCACTCTGTCCCAACAAGCCTAGAGTCTGCCAGGAAATCCCAGAGTGTGCGCCAGAGCCCCTAACCATGCTCTTGCAGGGACCCCGGCAAACGGAGTCTGGAAGCCCACTAAGCCCGCGTCAGCTCCGCCCCGGCCACGCAGACTGGAAAGCTGCAACCTGCCCCAGTGCCCTAAGTACGGTACGCAGACTCCGCAGACACAATCAGAGCGCGAGCTGGGAGCCACCAAGGTAAAGGGGCAGAGCGGAGCCCGGGCGCGGGGCAGCGCGGGGCGGGGCGGGGCGGGGCGGGCACACGTTTCCGCAGGCCCAATGGGAAGGCCGGGATCGATCGGGGGCGGGGCGGGGCGGGCGCACGTTTCCGCAGGCCCAATGGGAGGGCCTGGATTGATCAGGGGGCGGGGCGGGGCGGCCACGCCTGGGGCGGGACCCACGGGCCAGCCCGGTTCCGTCTTACGTAGCCTAGGCGGAGGCGGTGGGCTCCTGGTCCAGCGAGGGGCTTTCGGCGGACGAGGTGGAGGTGGCAGCGGGGGGACGGATACCTGGCGGGGTGGGGGAGCCGCGGCGGGGAAGGTGCTACTTCTGGGAAAGAGCGGGGACAGCAGCAGTGCCAGCTCAGGACTGGCCAGGCAGGGCAGGGCCCCCCGAGCCGGAGGCGAATAGGCCCCCACCGGGGACAGGCGGACAGGCAGCAATTGCTCCTCTGGGGGAGTCGGCGCCTCCAGCAGCCGCAGCCCGGCGCGGGGCCAGCCGGCCAGAGGGGCCAGGAGCAGAGACCTGGCTGCGCCCAGGCCCCCACCCTCCAACAGGGGGCGCCCGTCGGCCGAGAGCCGGAAAACCAGGGGCGGCGGGAGCAGGAGGGGACCGGCTGCAGGCGGGCGTGGCGGGGCAGGTGCGGAGGGGCAGGTACAGGTGCGGGGCAGCCAGGCAAGGAGGGGCGGGAGAAAGAGGGAGCAAAGAGTTAGTCCCGCGACCCGAGTGCCCACCCTGTGCCCCTTTCCCGGAGTGCTCCCTGGTGGCAGGGGACGAGGAGGACGGGTGACCCCGAAAGGCGGGGAGACGCGGGAGCGGATCGGGCGCCTCGGGGGCGGGCCGAGGCCGGAGCCCCGCCCTCCGCCCGCTTTCTCCCGCCGCCTCTTACCCTCCAGGCGTGCCTGCGCGCGTGGCTCCTCCGGCTCCTGGGCGCCTGCGGCCTCCCGGCCGGCCGCGGGACTCGTGGCCCTGCCCTCCTCGGGCTGCCCCTCGGCTATGGGCTGCAACCCCGGGCGGTTCTTCTTCCTCCGGGGCGGCACGGGGGGCGGCGGCGGCCGGGGCGGGACCAAGGCCCAGCCCGCGGGTGGGTCCCGGGGCGGGAGGGGCGGGGGCGGTGCCCGACTTCGCGTGCGGAGTTCCTTGAAGGTGGTGACTTCCCGCGGCGGCGCGGGCGCGGCGCCCAGCGTGCCGGTGGGGGGCAGCTCGGTGTCGGGCGAGAAGACGATGAGCCAGTCACTGCGGTCTTTCTTGGCCTGCGGCACGAGGGGCAGCCCCGGGCCCCGCTTGCGCTTCTGGGCCAGCTCGTGGAAGGACGTGATCGTCCGCTGGGGCACCGGCTCCTCGCTGACGTCACTTCTCCATCCCCCTTCGAGGTTCCAGGCTTCTGTTCTCGAGCCCGAATCCGTTCTTGCCCTGTCTGCCTTCGCCGCGGGCTCGCCTTTCCCAGCTTCTGCTGTCCAGGCGGGGGTCGTCTCCCCGTGGGCTTTCCAATCCGGGTTATTGTTCTTCTCTGCGATGCTCCCGTCCGCTTCGATTTTCTCTGTGTCGATTTTCCAAATAGGGTTGATCTTCCAGCTGGGTTCAGTTTTCCCGGCGCCGGTTTTCCCGTCCTCGAGCTCTGGGAGTTCGGTGGTGGGGAGGTCCGGCTCCTCACCCTCGTCCTCTTCTTCCAGCCCCGGGGAAGCGACGTCCTGGCCGGTGGTGAGCGCGTTGCAGTTGGAGTCCAGGCCAGGACCGGGCGGGGAGGAAGCTCCGGAGCAGGAATCGGGGGAGCAGCAGAAGCTGTCGGGGGAGCAGGCGTTGGGCCCCGCAGAGGCCGGCGGGGAGCCCGGCTCCTGAGCGCAGATGCGGGGCCGAGGCTGGGCATGCTGGTCGCGGGGGAGGTCCCGCGAGTAGACCGAGACCGGCGACTCGTCGGGGCTGAGATCTGAGCAGGAGCTGAGAGAGGATGAGCAGCCGGGGTCGGAGGGGGAAGCCGGCCCTTCGTCCTCTGGCGCCAGGTCCTGCCGGTTCTCCAGCCCCGGCCCGTGCTCCTGGCAGCATCGGCAGGGCACCGCCGGGCTGTTGGAGTTGGCGTCCACCAGCGCCCCGCTGCAGGGGCCCCGACTCTCCTTGCCCCCTGTGTCCCCTGGGGGAGGGGAGGTGCTCAAAGGCCCCTCCCGGAGCTCGGGCCGGCGGGACAAGTGCAGGCCCAGAGAGACGTGCTGGAGGTGGATGTGGTTGAGGTTGCAGAGTAAGGCCCTCTGAGGGGACAGCATGGTGCCCGTAGCGACCGGGTGGCCTCTGGAGAAGCAGGGGCTTGGGCCTGTCACATCCGCCTACCTGGCAGCCGCAGAGGTAGATCTAGAAGAAAAGGAAGGTGGAAGCGAGCTGGTGAGGGAGGTGGACGCGGGAAGGACACCGCGGTGATTGGCGGCCAGCGCGGGCCCTAGAGAGGCGCCGGCGGCTTGGAAAGATATTTCAGTGCTCTGCAAATGGCCATCGATTGGCCGCGAGTTCCCACTGCAGTGTCTGCCGGTGGAGTCGAACGTGACCCCCTGGGAATGGGGCGGGGACGGTGGGAGAATGCGGCTGCGCCCTGGGTCTCCGTGAAGGTGCGGAGGCTTGAGAAAGGATGGGGCCCAGGACCGACCCCCGTCGCCGTCTGCCGCAGGCGTCCCCTACAGCCTGCCCCTAGCGGAGGAGAGGGTCGAGGACCCCGCCCAGATGCCCTGAAAGAAGAGGGGGAGTGGGCGGGGGGAGTACAGGGGCGCGTCCAGCGTGTTAACGCCGGAAAGGGCGGGCGTGCGGGAAGGACCGGGGGTCCGGCCACCTCCCAGCTCCGCCCCAAAGACCCCGCAGAAACCCCGCCATAGCTCCGGGTTCCAGCCTGCAGCCGCCCCCTTCTTGTGATCCCTCCTCTCCGCTCCGGCCTCTAGCACCCCGCCACCCACATCCCCACCCCGCATCCCCACTCGGCGCGCCCCGGTCCATCCATCCGCCCCTGCGGGCCCTCCCCAGCTCACCAGGCTCTTCGAGCCAGCGCGGACAGCTCCCGGCTCCCAGGGCCCCGCCCGGCCAGCAGCATCACCCGCCCGCGCCGCGCCCCTTCGCGCAGGGCCGGGGGCGTGGTGCGGCCCAGGCCCCGCCCCGCGCCTGACATCGCCCTCCCCCTCCTCCCGGATCGCGGGTTTTCCTGTATTGTCTCGGGCCACTCCCTGCGCCGTAGAGGTTGGGGGAGGGCAGCTTCCAGCGGCCTTGCAGCAGTGCTCCGGAGGCCCCGGGGTGCCGGGGATTGAAAACCTTCCTATAGGCAGGCTTGTGCTCCAACCCTTGGCTTGCTCTGAGCCTTCTCCCCACCTCATTCCCCCAGCTCAACAAAAGCAAGGGATCCAGAGGCTGCCGGCTTAAGGACCCCGCTTTTGTGCAGCCATGCTCCCCTGTGCCCACCCCCACCCCGCTGCCCGCCCCATTCCAGACAGAGAACACCCCTGGCGGCACAACAGGAACCAAACTACAAGATCAAACAATAATTTATTGAGGGCCTCCCTCCATGCACGCTGGCACGCTATTTTTTGCGCTTGTAGATCTTCTGTGCCAGCCCCAGGAATACAGTCGCCGGCAAGGGATTGGCAAACTGCTCGATAAGGCTCATAAGGCGATTGTAACTGTCTTCCTCATACTGTGTGTACACGGTGGGTATATCCATTTCCTCGTAGAGCGCCTTCACCCGAGCTACCTTCTTGGCATCTTTCTGCCCGTAATTTTCCTGTAAGGAAGTGAAAATGGGCTTAGCCTTACCCCAGCGCCACCAGGTCCCTCTATCCCCCCCCCCCCCCATCCACATACTACCAGACTTCACTGTTACCCCTTGGCTCCATTCCTGCCTCCAATTTCAAGTGGTCCTAAAGGCTTGAGCCCTTGAATCCTACACATTCCCCTGCCACCATCCCTGACCAATGCTCAGCCCAGACTCCTCTCCCCAAGTGTTTCTCAACATTGGATGCTACTGAAATGCTGGGCCCAAAACTTGTGTGTTTGTGCATCACTAGTTTGACCACATCCCTGATACACCTCCCTATAATGTACTACAGTATCCCCACGCCAAGATGTGATCACAAAGACAAGTCACTGACACTGCCCGATTCCTGGTTTGCAAACTAGTCCTCCAATGTTCTAGCCCCATCCTTAGCAACCCGGAGAGCCACAGCCTGGGCACCTGCAGGATCTGGCGCTGCTCTGGAGAGGCCCGCTGCAGACACTGGACCACCAGCCAGCTGCACTTGTTGTCTTCAATGTCAGTGCCAATCTTGCCCGTCACACTGGGGTCCCCAAAGAGGTCCAGGTAATCATCCTAGTGCGGGGGAGAGGTGCAGAATAGGAGGTCTTAAGAGACTCTGTGAGAAGGAAGCTGGCACCCACTCTCTTGCCAGTGCCTAGCACCACCTACCTGGATCTGAAAGAACTCTCCCATCTCCATTAGGATCTTCTTGGCATTAGTGTGCTCCTTCTCCCCGTCAATGCCCGCCTACCGTGGAAGGGGGTTGGTCAGTCAGAGGTGATTTCATCTTCCCAACCACACCCGGCCAGAGGCCACACCCCTGTGCAGGCCCCAATTCATTTCTCCTGGCCTTTCAGAGATTCCAAGATTGTGGCCCAGGATTTAGCTCCATGGCACATGTGTAAGACCTGGAGCTCCAACACAGTGGAAAAAAGAAAACAGCAACTAGTCCTGGATCCCCAGATTTAGAAAGTTCTTCTATTTTCTTTTGATTTGGGGCCATACCCAGTGATGCTCAGGGGTGACTCCTGCCTCTGCACTCAAGTATCATTCCTGATGGTGCTCAGGGGATCACATGTGGTGCCAGGGATGGAACTCATGTCAGCCACATGTAAGGCAAAAAGCCCTCTCTCCAGCCCTGATCTAGAATGTTCTGACTGCCAACCTCCATTCCAAGTATTTTTCACTCGGTCTTCCCAGGAGTCCTGGGAGAGACGAATTCATTCCTGAGACCCTTCAGACCATCTCTTCACTCACAAGGCCTAATTCCATTTGTATCCCCCATGCTAAGCTTCTGAAGAGGAGGGTGTAGGGCCTGGGCCACCCCAGCAGTGCTCAGAGGACTCTGTGGAATCCTACATGCAGAGCCTGCACTCTGCCCTTGGCATATTTCCTAGCCCAAGCACAGACTCTCTCTGAAACACTAAGAATAAGTAACTTCAGGTCAATGTGCTGCTACATGGGCCTTGGGCAGACCACATGCTGCATGCCAGCAGCACGGTCAAGGGCACTCACCAGGTACATGGCAGCAGCAACAGGGAGGTAGAAGGAGTAGAAGGCAGTCTTGTACTTGACAATGGATTTGTACCTGAGCAGGAAAGAAAACCCCCTCAGGAAGCTGTGCCCACACCGGGCTCCCCCTCACTGATCACACACGGTCCCCACTGCCCCTCACCTCTTTTCAGTGAATCGGGCAAGATCCACATTGTTCTGCGGGGCCGTTATGAGGTCCAGAGTCTGCCCAAGTTCAGTCGCATAGGTAGTCTGAGAAGGAAGATGGTCCGTGAGCCCCCCAACCCTCACACCAAGCACTGGGCAGTCAGGGAGGGCAGCAGGAGTGACAAGACCCCAGACCCCAAGCCCAGCCCCTCCTCACTCCCTTTCCTCTCCCTCTCCCTTTATCTCCCACCACCAGCACTGGCTCTACCTCCTTGCCACCACTGCTGCCCCGCCAAGTCCCTTCCTCACTCTCTACCCCTTCCTGGGCGTCTGACCTGCCGTGCCCACAATGGCCAGCAGCGCACCTGCAGGAAGAGCTCGATGAGGTTCAGGTAACAGGGCAACTCCCGGCAGTAGAGCTTCAACAGGCGGTAGATACACGCCTCCAGGAGCAGAGCGTCATTCACAGCATCCAGACCTATGCCCGGCTGTCCCAGGCACAGAGACAAGTGTCAGCCTCCACCCAGAACCAGGCCTGTCACCCTTCACCTCCCCGTGGCCTCAGGAGGTCCCCAGCCCGAGCCTCTCCCAACCTTACCTTCTTATACCAGCAGGGCTGTCCCCGACGAGTTAGAGACGAATCCATGATGTCATCCGAAACCAGGAAGAAAGCCTGGAGCTAGAGATGGAAGGAGACCTCAGCTGCTTCTGACTTCCTACCAGCAGCAGTGTAAGCACCAAGCTGGAAGAGGCCAACTGGGGAGACTGAGGCTGGGTACTGTGTGGCCTTCTGGAAAGTTCTTGGGCCTCTCTGGGCTCAGGTTTCCTAACTACAAAGCGGGCTTAAAACACTCCAGTGTCCAGGGCTGGAGCAACAGCACAGTGGGTAGGGCATTTGCCTTGCATGCAGTCAACCAAGGTTCGATTCCCAGCATCCCATATGGTCCCCTGAGCACCGCCGGGGGTAATTCCTGAGAGTAGAGCCAGAAGTAACCCCAGTCATCGCTAGGTGTGACCCAAAAAGCAAAACAAAAAAGAAAACACTCCAGTGTCCAGAGTGGAGAGAAATGGGGGCACCACTTCACCCATGGCATGGTCTCCCCAGTGGTCTGGACAGAGCCCGGGCAGCCAAGCCCAGTGGAGCTCAACTCAGTCCAGCATCCCATGCTCAGGGCCATGCCCGCTCCACTACTCCCAGCTATCCCCACCCCCAGCACTCTTGATCTGTACAACCTGACCTTTGTCATTTATAATTTGTAATCCGATACGTCCCTGGTGTACTGGCAGCTGGGCTACCAGAGAACAGGCCTGAATTTTTTTTTTCTTGCTTTTTTGGGTCACACCCAGCCAATGCTAAGGGGTTACTCCTGGCTCTGCACCCAGGAATCACCCCTGGCGGTGCTTGGGGGACCATATGGGATGCTGGGAATCGAACCTGGGTCGGCTGTGTGCAAGGCAAATGCCCTACCCGCTGTGCTATTGCTCCAGCCCCCGAGCCTGAAGAACAAACATGAAAACCAACAAGAGACATTACAAAACTTAAAGCCCTTTCTTGCTGCTGTGGCCAAGACACTGCTTCACCCCCACCTCCTCGAGCACAGAGGCAGGCGTGGCCCCTGAGCACTGGCAGTATGGCGCCCAAAAACAAAACACAAAATGAAAAGAAGCCAGGGGGATGGCTCAGGAGTAGAGCACATGCCTTGCATGTATGAGGCCAGAGTTTGATTCCCAGAACCACATACTGACACATCAAACAGGAGAAATCTGATGTTCCCAGATTAACAAATAATCCCTGGCATCAGGGAGGTTGAACTGTCTTCAGTTATTCTCTTGCCAGTAGCTGCAGGGAAGAGTCAAGATTTCTTCACACCTGACAAGACCCTGGAAACCAAAGAGGCTAGACCCGCGCTGCACCTCCCAAGCACCCAGGGAGAAACCCATTCCAGGCACTCCCTCAGGCCAAGGGCCGATCTGAGAAGCTGAAACTGCCTTCTGCCTCCACAATTTTGGTTTGTTTGGGGGGTCGGGCCCCACAGTGCTCAGGGATCACTCCTAGCAGGGCTCAGAGGGGCCATGTGTGGTGCCAGGGATCGAATCCAGGTCATCCATGTGCATAAGTATCCGGCCTGCTGTGCTCTCGCTCTGGCCCTGAGCCTGCTTGCTATTACCCACAGGTCTGTCAAGGCCTTTGTGGGAGCACCAGCCATGGGATTTACCCCTGCCCACTTTTCCACCAATACCCCGAGACCATCTCTGTCCCAGGCTCAGTCTGACTGAAACACGACACAGGCTCCAGGACTCCCCCGAAGTCAGGCTCTGCCTTTAGCCTCTGCCTTTAGCGCCTTCAAACAGCTTCTCAGGATTGAGTTTTCAAACCTTTGCCCTAACTGCTCAGCTCCTGTCCTGGGCCCAGCATGCTCTGCACTCACACTGTGAGGGTCTGGAGGGCACAGCGCCCCCACAACCACCATGGAGTCACCTTCCACCAGCTCCAGCACCAAGTCTCTAGGATGTGTCTCCTGGGTCTTCCCTGACTTCCTCCGACCCCAGCAGTGATTCTTCCCCTTTCTACACAGCAGGGGGCTTAAAAACACAGCCAGACCAGGGGTGGGGCTCAGCAGAACACCTTGTATGGGTTTATTCCTGGAAGGTTGGGGGGGGGGGGGGGTGGAAAGCAAGGGCCAGTGTCACACCAGATCAGCTATACAATTGTGATGGCAATTTTCTTTTCTAGCTGTGCCAGGGATTGAGCCCAGGGCCTCACAGGTACAAGGCATGAACTTTACCACTGAGCCACATCACTGCCCCAGATCAGAGATAAGAAATCTACAAGGGGACGACCTCTGCATTAAGTTTTTATTCTTGTTTTCTGGTTTTGAAGACACACCCAGTGGTTGCTCAGGGGTGTCAGCAAGCAGCACTTGAAGGCCTGGCCATGTGGTGCCTGGGATTGAACCCCAGCCCCCTGTTGGCACAGCACAAACTCAACCCCAATTGTTATTGTTGTGGTCTTTTTTTTTTCTTTTTGTGTCACACCCGGCAATGCACAGGGGCTACTCCTGGCTCATGCACTCAGGAATTACTCCTGGTGGTGCTCAGGGGACCATATGGGATGCTGGGAATCAAACTGGGGTCGGCCATGTGCAAGGCAAATGCCCTGCCCACTGTTAGTCGCTCCAGCCCCTGTTGTTTTTATTTAAATAATCGTTCCAGGTCTGTGCTACACCCACAAGGTGTTCTTTGGGAGGAAGGGGCTGGATCACACCTGGCAGTATCTCTGGGCCACTCCCGGCTCAGTGCCCAGGGCACCAGGCAGTGCTGGAGGACTGACCCCAGGTCTCCTGCAAACAAAGCATGTAGTCATCCTGTCAAGCTACCCCTCAGCAACCCTGTGGCCCCCTGTAGCATTCTTACCAGTGTTTCAGTGAGGTGCTTGGAATAACAAGGAGACAATCAGGGCAAATCCAGACTGAATTCAGAGCCATTCTACCAGGCTCTGAACTGGGAAAGGTCAGGGCGTGAACCCAGGGCTAGAGTACATGCCTCACAAGGATGAGGTCCTAAGTTTGTTCCCCACCACCAAAAGTACTGTTTTTTTCCATAAGAACTGAAGGGTCCCACTTGAACAGCTTGCAGAATGCTCCATATAAATTTATAATTTTATATAAATTTATGGACTGGAGCGATACCACAGTGGGTAGGGCGTTTGCCTTGCACGCGGCCAACCAGGCCAACTCGAGTTCGATTTCTCCGCCCCTCTCAGAGAGCCCGGCAAGCTACCTAGAGTATCTCGCCCACACGGCAAAGCCTGGCAATCTACCCTTGATGTATTCGATATGCTAAACACAGTAACAAATCTCACAATGTTACTGGGCCCACTCGAGCAAATTGATGAACAACAGGAGGACAGTGACAATGACAGATATAAATTTATATAATGAAAATAGCATTCCCAAAAAAGTCGTACTGAATGTTCTACTTCTCGAGCCAAAGAGAGTACCACTTTAAGGCACACAACTTGCACACAGCTGACTTGGGTTCAATCCCCAGCATCCCAGGGAGTCCCCCTAGCACTGCCAAGAGGGATCCCTGAGCACAGAGCCAGGAGTAAGCTCTGCTAGATATGACCAAAAAAGGAAAGGAAAAAATATTTTGAAGAATGGGAGAAGTCTATAATGACTGTCTGGAGGAAAACCAAGAACATTTAAAAACAGAATATACAGGGGCTGGAGTGATAGCACAGCGGGTAGGGCATTTGCCTTGCATGCAGACGACCCAGGTTCGATTCCCAGCATCCCATATGGTACCCTGAGCACCGCCAGGGATAATTCCTGAGTGCAGAGCCAGGAGTGACCCCTGTGCATCACTGGGTGTGACCCAAAAAGAAAAAAATAATAAATAAAAACAGAATATACAATAGATAGTATATGTGCTGCCAAAGCGAGATGGGCTGGAGCGATAGCACAGCGGGTAGGGCATTCGCCTTACATGTGGCCAACATGGCCGACCCGAGTTCGATTCCTCTGCCCCTCTCGGAGAGCCTGGCAAGCTACCGAGAGTATTCGATATGCCAGACACAGTAACAACAAAGTCTCCAATGGAGACATTACTGGGCCCACTCGAGCAAATCGACGATCAACGGGAGGGCCTTTACCTTTACCTTTATACAATAGATAATATCAGGGGCCCAAGTGATAATACAGTGGATAGGGCATTTGCTTTCCATATGGCCAACCCGGGTTCGATCCCCAGCATCCCATATGGTCCCCGAGCACCACCAGGATAATCCCTGAGTGCAGAGCCAAGAGTAAGCTGAGCACTGCCAGGTGTGACCCAAAAGCCCCCCCCAAAGAAAGTAGGTAACATCATCCTATCAATATTAAACATCTTAGATGTGGTTGTAGCTGAATGAACAGATTTCCCCCAAACTCAGGTACTGAAATCCTAGTCATTAAGACAACAGCATGGGGAAGGGGGGAGGCGAGAAGGGGGAAGGGAGCATTGCAGAGCTATAGTACAGCGGATAGGGCATTTGTCTTGCACATGGATAAGCTGGCAACGAGTAACCCTGCGCACTGCCAGGTATGACCCCAGTCAAAGAAACAATGGGGGAAACTCCTAGGAGTGCAAGAGTGAGGGGCAGCTGTGCCTTCTAAAAGACACCCCTTACAACTCCCTCCCCAGCCCAGGACCAGGAAGCAGCCCTCCCCTGGTATAGAGCCCTCTGCTCAGACTCCCAACCTGAGAACTGTGAGCAGCAAATTCCTGTGGTTTCTAAGCTACAGTCTGTAGCATTTTGTGGTTGTGCCCAAAGAGAGCTGTGATCATGGTACAGCGGTTATATACTCAATCTTGTGTTTTAGGAAGTGACTGCTGAAATTGAAAAATAAGAGGCCGAAGGAAAGGACAGAGAAGTTGAAAGCAGAAGCACAAAGGACAACAGAGTCCTGAGATTGAACAATGGAAGCATTGTGGCAGCCAGGGCCACACCTCGGATAAGTCACTGCATTCCAGCCACTGGAAAGTCACCAGGTGCCAGGGGACAGCCAGGCTGAGTCTTGGGAGGGCTGGCACCACAGCCTCAGAGATGTCTGAGGCTGCCCTACAGATCCCGGGGCTCTCCTCTGAGCTGGGGGCCACCCTCCTCAGCCCAGCCCTCTGGGTTCCACTATGTGAAACCAGAACCACACACATTCAGGGGCCAAGTGGGTTGGGATTAAGAAACAAGGAGACAGGAAGCCTGGAGCAATGCAGAGACAGACCCAGGAAGAGAGCACATGGCCTGTCTTAAAGGAGCCTGATTCCACCTACGCCGGTTGTTGCATACAGGAATCTGGGCCTGGCTATAGCAATTTTACCAGCAGTCTGGGCTTCTGTGGGGAATCTCCTTTTTTTTTATTTGCTGTTGTTGTTATTATAGAGGGGAGATTGGGTGGCACACCCAGCAGTGGTCCAGGCTTACTCCTGGGTCTGTGCTCAGCAATCACTCCTGTAGGTGCTTAGGGGACACTGTGTGGGGCACTGAAGGGGTCAGCCACACGTAAGGTAAGCACAAACCCTGTACTGTCTCTCCAGTCCTTGGAGCAATCTCTTCTTTGTGAAATTTAGAGAACTTAGTTTTAAAACAATTTCAAAACCATCAGTGAGTTTCCAGTTGTTTTTTGTTTGTTTGTTTTGGTGGGGGAGCGAGTTGCCCCAGCGATTCTAGACCAAGGTTGTCTGCAGTTTAATGCAGGACCCAAGGATTTGCTGGTGCCAGGGAAATGCAGTGCCAGGAATCTAAAGGTCAGCCCTCTGGTACTTTGGGCCTGGTTGGCTACATGCAGGGCATGTGGCTGTACTCACACCCTCCCCCCCACCCCCCCAGGCCCTCTGCCAGTTTTCAGGATTCCTGGAAGAATAGGCTCACTCTCTGGCTGTCCTCCTCTTGAGTAAAGAAATGAGACCCCTCTGCCCAGCTGCAAGGCCATGCATCATCCCACTTCAGCAGATTAAATGTTTGCAAGTCCAAAGAGCATCCCCACATTTGCCATCCCTTATAACCACCGTGTAGGGCCGGCTGTAGGCAACAGAAGACCACCCACAAAATGATGTCCAGGGGCTGAAGTGATAGCACAGCGGGTAGGACGTTTGCCTTGCACGCGGCTGACCCGGGTTTGATTCCCAGCATCCCATATGGTCCCCTGAGCTACTGCCAGGAGTAATTCCTGAGTGCAGACCCAGGTGTGACCCAAAAAGCCAAAAAAAATATTTAAAAATGATGTCCAGTCTCTGAGCTCCGCCCCCACCCCACCCTAACCCCCACCCCAGGGGCACCAAGGCCCTTCCCCTGCGCCTCTCACCAGTTCCACACACCAGCCCACAGTGAGGGCCTGTTTAATACTCTCGGCATCCTGCTTCCTGGGCTCAGCCAGGTCCCGGAAGGCCGCCAGCACCGTCATTCCACGATTGCATTTGCCTCCGATCAAGTTGTATTCCAGGACCTGTGGGGATGGGGCCAGTCACGTGGGGGCGGGGCCACTCCTGGCTCCTCCCCCAAACCCAGACTCCTGGTCCCGACTTCTTCTTTCAGTCCTGGACCACAGCTAAAAGTGCTTCTCCGGGCTGCCTTCCTCAATTTTCCTTCTTTTCCTCCCTTCCCAGTGTCGCTGTGATGGGCAGGCAGGTGTGGGGACACACTTGTTTCAGTCTTCACAGAAACTTTGGTCTCGGCCTACAAGCCTGCCCCTGGCCCTCTCTGTCCCGAGTTTCACTGATTCTGGAGCAGTGCCAGAGGCTGAACCCAGGTCTCTTGCATGTAAGGTTCATTATCCTTGAATCCCTGAGCAGGAAACCACATTCCTGTCTTGCCTGTCAACTAGATGGAACTTCGGGAAGACTTCCCTTGTCTCCATCCCAATATCACCCAATCTTCATGTTGCAGATTCCACTCAGAACAAGGAGTCAGTGAACATTTATAAAAAGATTTTACTCAGCAGGGGCTAAAGCGACAGTACAACGGGTGGCAAGGCACTTATAGACAGAATAGTGGGGAGAGTCGGGGGAGTGGGTGGGAAAATGCCTCTTATTGCACCTGGTATTAGATATTTGCCTCGCACATGGCCAAACCAGGTTCAATCCCCAGCACCCTCTGTGGTTACCCAAGCCCTGCCCAGGAGTGATCCCTGAGGAAGTAAGCGCTGAGCACTACTGGGTGCTCAGAAAAACAACACAAAAAATTTTACTCACTACTCCAAAAGAATCAAAGAACTGAGCCCCTGAAGGACCCTGATATAGTTCCTGCCCTATCAGGACTCTGACTTCCCACGGGCCCTGGCCATGGGGAACCACATGGACCCCCGACTTCCCTTTCTCAAGGAAATCAAGAGGCAAAGCCTTTACACTAGGGCCCTCTGCCCCATACTTATAGGTTCACCGAGAACCACAGGCAGGACCGAAAATCGAAGGAGGTCATCCACGCCCACCCAGGACCCTCCAATAAAAGCCTGCCCTCCACCTGGCTCCCCTGCCGCTACACCCACTGGGGGTGACCCCAAGGAGTCAGCTGGCCTCACCTCCTTGAGCCGGGAGATGGCGTCCCCTATCTCAGGGTGCCCCAGCTCATCTTCAGTCAACACCTTGACAATGTGGGAGAAGTGCTGCATGAAATCCTGCCTCTCTTGATTAGAAGCATCTGATTTCTTGTCTCCGTTCATTCTGGAAGAGGGAAGTGATATGAGAGAAGGGGGACAAGTTAGAAAAACGGTCTGCCGCTTCCCTCCCCAAAACCCCTCACCCCACCACACTCACCGAGGCTCCTCTGTCCACGCTTGGCACCAGCAGCGGGCACCGTGCCAGGCCCCCAGCACTGAGCACCCGTACACCAGGGAGGGCCGCCGGAGGAGACCCAAGCACCTCTCCCGGGGCGCCCACCAGGGGCCTGGCAGCAAGAAGACCCCCGCGGACCTCAGCCAGCGGGACAGGGGCATCATGGGGGGTGGCCTAGGGAGGGGGCACCGCGCAGATGCACAGAGGCAGCTCCCCGTGACACCCCACCACCACCCCAAACTTTCCCTTTGGACATAGAATGCCCAGCCCTCTTCCTCTGGAGGAAGCCTGGCGGCTTTACAGAAAAAAGGAAATGCACGGGCCACAAAAGAACCGTGGGTGTCTAACACTCCACTGAAGGCCTTTAAAATGCCAACAAACTTTTCTCCAACCCTCAATTCCTCCTTCAGGGAGCCACAGGATTGCTATTGCCTAAATTCCCTTCCCCATGTGCTGGAACACGTCTAGAAGAGTCCAGAGTTAAAAACCTCAGAAGTGGGCCTTGGAAGGGCCCTTACACCCTCCTTTTTCACAAAGGTAAAATAAGGTTTTGGAAAGCAGAAAGTTTAACGAGGCAGCAAGCAGCAGGACAATGATTAGCGTGCAGGTGGACAGGGCACAATGAAACAGACCCGATGACAGAAATCCCTGGTGCCACCGGCATGTCGGGAATCCCGACTCACACAGGGAGCACTGCTGCGGCACTGCTGGCAGCCGAGCAAGAGAGCAGTGGAGCATACCGTTCGCGGAAGTATTCCAGGAAAGCACACCGGTGGGTTCAAAGATTCCCCCGCGCCAGCAGGGATCGAGGAACCCCATTCCCCGTACACACGAATAGTGGAAATTCCCACGCAACAGGCTGCGCCCCCGGGCCTCAACGTTTCGCTAGAGTGGGAAGGCAGGGTGTCTGTCCCCTGCCTCCAGTTCGAGTTTGCGGCCACTCTCACCTGCTCGTGGATGCAGCTCCGCTCCGAGGTACCGAGTCTTGCCCGGGTCCTCCTAAAATGCCTACCCGCTCAACGCTAGGCCTTCTGGGTCGAGTAGTTCTCGATCTCCGGGGACTAGAGAGAGGCAGGCCCTACTGGACTACAACTCCCGGCATGCCGCGGAGGGGCCAGGGCCACGCAATCTAGCGTGGGCCGAATAGCAGGAGACGAGCCCCGCTGATTGGCTATGTCCCCTCGTGCGAGCCTAGGCCCTGGGACAGGCAGCCAATGGGAGAGCGGCGCCCAGGGCCGTAGATTTAGAATGAGTTCGAGTGAGCCGAGGATGAGCCGAGGGCGTGGTCCCGCCGCCGTAACAGTGGAAACCAATCGGGCTGGGCATGCGGTCCCCTCTCGCCCAGCTAGTCAAGCTACTCCGCAACAGAATTTTCGTCATCTTTCGGTTCGTCAGAATGACGTGAAAGTAACCCCAGCAGTCCTAGGTTTGAAACTTTATGATGTCTTTAACTTCTGGGTTCTCTGATCCAGCGTTAGCTTTCTGTTGACTAAGTGAGGATAGTGTATTGAGGTAATGTATTTAAGGTGCTTAAAGGACTTAAGAGAGACTTAGAACATAAGCTAGCTGCCCTCTCTCTCTCTCTCTCTCTCTCTCTCTCCCCCTCATTTCCCTCCCTCCCCTCCTCCTCCTTCTCCCTCCCTCTCTCTTTTGCCCCCTCCCCTCTCCCTCTCTCTCATGCCTTCTCCCTCTCCCCGCCCCGCCCCACACACACCCTTACCAGTCTTATCGGTTCCTATCTTATCGGCTCTTTCTCCACTATCACCCCCAATAAATTGACCTCTCTGAGGCTGGTGAGAGTACAGCCTGTAGGACTCTTGCCTTGCACCCCAGGTTTCAACCACATATAGTCCTCCAATCCCCACCAGGACTGATCCCTGAACAGAGATCTGATTTAGCCCTGAGCACCGCCAGGTGTGCCTCACAACACACACACACACACCAAAAAAGTTAATCATATGGAAAATTGCCTAAAACTCCAGATCACATGATAAAAATGGGTCTGGTCATTTTGGGTTCAAAAGCGTTGTCTGAAGAGACCCCCACTTCATCGTTGCTCATCGCTATACTAATTATCAAAGCAATTAGACAAGAGAACGTTTTGAATTGTCAGGACCCCAGGTTCAGTCCCAGGGACTGACATCCTCTCCCAGCACTCCCAGCTGTGGTCCCAAAACAAAAGCCAAAATATCTCTATTTCAGATGGAGATATGATATCTACTGAAAATTTTCAAGAGGGGCCAGAGTAATAGTACATGGGGTTGGGTGTTTGCCCTGCACAGGGCCAACCTGGGTTTAAACCTCCGCATCCCATATGGTTCCTCCCCCAGCACCGCCAGGAGTAATTCCTAAGAGCAGAGCCAGGAGAGTAACCCCTGAGTATCGCCAAGTGTGACCCAAAAAGAGAAAGAAAGAAAGAAAGAAAGAAAGAAAGAAAGAAAGAAAGAAAGAGAGAAAATTTGCAAGAAAGCTAGAGAGCTAACAAACTGCAATGAACAATATCAAAAAGGAAATGAAAGAAATTCCATTTTCAGTAATAAAGTAACAAAATACCTAAAAATAAAATGTAAGGGCTGGACAGATAATACAGTGAGTAGGTCATTTGCCTAGCACACTGCTGACCAAGGTTCAATCCCTTGTACCCTATATGGTCCCCAAGCTAGGAGAATTCCTCAGGGAGGAGCTAGGAGTAATCCTTGATCATTGGCAGAGCCTGGCAAGCTCCCCGTGATGTATTCGATATGCCAGACACAGTAACAACAAAGTCTCCAATGGAGACGTTACTGGGCCCGCTCGAGCAATTGCAAAAGACAAAACAAAAATAACACCTGAGCACCACCAGGTGTGGCCCAAAACCCATTAAAATAAAAACAGGATGTAATCAATTAAGTAAAAGAGCAGTGTACTATAGCACAGCGGGTAGGGCGTTTGCTTTGCACGCAGCCGACCCGGGTTCGATTCCCAGCATCCCATATGGTCCCCTGAGCACCGCCAGGAGTAACTCCTGAGTGCAGAGCCAGGAGTAACCTCTGTGCATCGTCAGGTGTGACCCAAAAAGCAAAATTTAAAAAAAAATCAGTGTATTGAAAATTATGAAACATTTTTTTAAGTTTTCTAAAGAAAACGCCAGGAGCTATGGTACAACATGTACCTGTTGGTACAACATGTACACTGGCCTTGTATACAGGTGACCCAGTTCATTTCCCAGCATCCTATATGGTCCCCCAGGTACTGCCAGTAGTAATTCCTCAGTGCAGAGCCAGGAGTAACCAGTGAGCATCTCCAGGTATGGAAGGAAAAAAAATTTTCTAAAGAAACCCTAAATTTTGACAAACATCCCACCTTAGTGGGTGAATCAATATCACCTAGAGGAGGGGCCAGAGCAATAGTACAGCTAGGAGGGACAACATTGGTTTTATCCCAGGAGTCCCATATGGTCCCCCGAGCAACACCTGGAGTGATTTCTGAGTGCAGAGCCAGGGAATGACCCAGTTTCAGGACTTACTACATAGCTGACATCATAATATTTTTAAAGACTCATAATAAATCTTTCAGTATCAATATTGCAAACCACAATGCCCAAAAGGAGTGTGTATAAGTGTGTGTGAAAGACAGAGACAAAGACAGACAGAAGAAAAGGCCTGCCATATAAGCTGGCAGGGGGTGAGGGGTGATGGGAGGGAACCTGGGGACACTGGTGCTGGGAAATATACACTGGTGGAGGGATGGTATTGGAGTACTATATGACTGAAATCAAACCATGAACAGCTTTCTGAGGGTCTATCTCCCAGTGATTCAATAAAAAAAGTTTTAAAAAATTTTTTTAAAAGGCTCATAATAAAAACTTTTAGATCCAGCGTAAGAAATGACATAGAGATCACTGCAACAGAATCCAAGCATCTAGAAATAAACATAGACAACCAACAGAATGTCACTGAAGAGAGCGAGTTCCAGATAGTGTGGAGTAAAGTCCCCTTGCATGTGGCCCATCCCAGTTTAATTTTGTGTGGCTCAAAACTACACGCACGCACACATACATACACACCCACAAACTTTCTCTTTCACAGAGGAAAAAAAAGACTCTTCGGTCTATAGAAAGAGTAGAGAGGTTAAGGAACTTGCCTTGCACGCAGCATATCCCCAAGATTTAGCATCCCCCAAGTACCACGAGGAGTTATCCTTGAACACAATCCCAGAAGTAAGCACTGAGCACCACCAGGAGAGAGGGGAGAAGCAGGAGAAAAAGGAGGAAGAAAAGGAAGAAGGACAAAGAAGAGGAGGAGGAGGAGGAGGAGGAGGAAGAGGAAGAAGAAGGAAGAAGTAGAGGAGGAAAAACTTGGTACTGAGGCAAGTGGGTTTCCACAGGAACTCGATGGGAGCCAGACAGCACAGTTAGTAAGGCATTTGCCTCGCATGCAACCAACCTAGGTTCAATCCCCTGCACCCCATATGATTTCATGAGCCCTGCCGAAAGTGATCCCTGAGTGCAGAACCAGGAGGAAGCCCTGAGTACCTCCAGGTATGACCCCCCACCAAGAAAAAGAATAAAATTTGATCTCTGTTTATATCATATAAATATATATTATTTTATTGAGGTACCAGGACTTGTAATTCTGGTAAGTATGCTTTCCATACATCCATCCATCATTCCCACACCATACCCATCCCCAGAGAGCCTGCTTACCCGCCACAGTGCCCCAGGGCCCCTCCATGGCAGCGTTGTTCTATAGACAAAACCTCCAGTCCTGATAACTTTGGCCTTTGTCATCCCCTTGCTGTGTTTTTTTATATTCCACACATGAGCAAGATTTTGTTTTTTGGTAACAGCTAGCAGTGCTCTGGATTTACTCTTAGCACTGTGCTCAGGGATCACTCTTGGTGGGTTCGGAACCATATGAGGTGCTGGGAATCAACCCAGGTCTAGTGTGTCAAGCCCTATACCATCTTTCAGGCTCCAAGAGATTTTTTTTTTAGTTGTGGAGGTAGTGACAAATATACACATATAAATTATTAAAGCTAACCTGAAAATCCACTACATATTTTTGTTTCTTTTGGAGATTGCTTCTGATGGGACTTGGGGGACCATATGTGATACTGCAGATCAAACCTGGGTCAGCCATTTACAAAACAAGCACCCTAAACCCACTGTACTATCTCTCTGGCCCCTCATCATCGCAACATATTTTTTCAATAACTCAAAATTAACATATGTGACCAGGAGTTGGCAGAGTGGCCAAAGACAGACAAAGAAATTAAAGGAATTTTTCCTGTAGATTTTGATGGATCTACTGCTTTCCTGGAAATTTTGGAAGGAGAGAGAGTTCAATGGTCTGAGCATGTGCTTTGCATGTAGAAGGCCCAAATTTAATCCCCAGTACCATATAGTACCCTGAGCACCACCAGTAATGACTACTGAGTACAGGTAGGTATGGCCTAAAAATAGAAAAAGAAAGAAAGAAAGAAAGAAAGAAAGAAAGAAAGAGAGAGAGAGAGAGAGAGAGAGAGAGAGGAAGGAAGGAAGGAAGGAAGGAAGGAAGGAAGGAAGGAAGGAAGGAAGGGAGGGAGGGAGGGAAGGAGGGAGGGAGAAGAAGGGAGGAAGGAGGAGGGAGGGAGGGAGGGAGGGAAGAAAAAGATGGAAGGAAGGAAAATTAGAAAAATAATGGAATCTCATGATAAAACCAAAAGCTTGGTGGTTCGTGCCCACCCAGGGATTCCAGATGTGTAAACACAAAAAGGGCAGCTCTATCTCTCTGTCTCCCACATTCAGTAGTCTCATGCCACTTCCCCCACCCAGGGAGGTCAATGGCGATGGGTAAGCGAAAGAAGGAATGAAGACCAAGTTGGTATCAATTGCAGTTTATTCCAATCTCCTCTCCAGACTCCTCCGATTCCCCTTCTGCTTCTCTTTCTCCAGCCCCCTTCATTCTCCTTCTTGCTTCCCCCTCATTCTTCTTCAGGCCTCCGGATCTGACTCTGCCTCCCTCCACTCTTACAGTCTTAGTTTATATAGCAATCACATAGGGCAGTGATACAAAGGTGGGTTGAACATTAACAAATCAACAAAGAGCGGTAAAACCAGTCCTCCAGGAGATTAACTCAAGGACAAAAATCTCATCTAAGGAGATTACTCTAGATTATTAGGAGATCTGCTCAAGGGTAGGATCCCAACGAGGGTATGACACTTTCTTCTTTCCTCAACTAGCAATCCCCTTAAATACTTGTAGTAAATCTACTTCTAATATTTCTAGCAATGTCATTCTGTATGAGCACAGTAAGAGATATAAATTTAAGGTTCGGTTCTTCCTGAGGACATCTCACTATATATTCCAGACCGCAGTCCTCAGGCCAGGTTAGTCTTCCTAACCCCAGCAGGGTCCTAATCTCATCGTTACTTTTGGATCATGACAGCATTTGTCCATGATCATGTGCTCAACTTATAACTGAGTATTGTGGCGCTTTGGCCTGGCCCATTTTGATGCCAGGGTAGCTCACAGATTGGCCTGGGTCCATTAGTCCCTTGTCGGGACCCTGCTTTTGGGGTGCTAGGTACTAAGGGCAACTGAGTCGAGAGAGCAGATGCCCAGGAGTAAATATTACTGGAGTCAATCAACTCTGAAGTTACAAAGCATAAAATTAACTGTCTTCCTGTGCCCATACAAAAAGGACATTGCTTTAAGGTAAACTAAGTTCCCTGCAGCAGGACTGAAAGGACAAACTCAGTGTTATCCTACAGACCATCAGCTCTGGAAATTTCTTCTGTAGGTTCATTTTTTGCTTTATTTTGTTTTGTTTTGTTTTTGAGCCATCCAGCAGAGCACAGGGCTTACTCCAGGTTCCATTCAAAATTACTCCTGGCAGGGTTGGAGGGACTATATGGGATCCTGGGGATTGAACCCAAGTGGCTGTTTACCAAGGCAACAGTTGCCCTACCCTCTGTACTACTCCAGCCCCCAGAACGTAAGTTTCTTATTATTTCTTTTTGGTTACACATAGCAGAGTTTGGGAGCTATTCCCAACTCAGTGACCAGGGGACCAGGCAGTGCGAGAGCAAGCACACTAATTTACCCTTGAGCCATCACTCCAGCTGAGGAATATGATTTTAAAAGTACACTGAGGGGCTGGAGACGTGGGACAGGAGGTAGGACACTTATCTTGTATGTAGCCAGCCCAGATTAGATCCCCAGCACCCAATGTGGATCCCCGAGCTCTCCAGCTAGTAATCCCTGGACACAACCAGGAGTATAATCCCTGAGCCTCGCAGGGTGTGCCACAAAAACCTAAAAAAAAAAAAAAAAAAAAAAAGGGTTGGGCAGGAGAAGGCAATGACTAATCCATGGAGAAATAAGGCTCTCTCTGACGTAATATCACTGATTTATTGTTGGATAAAATAATTATTATGAAATTGTGTGGCAGAAATTAAAAGATACTAAAGCAATAGTGCAGCATACTTAAGAACAAACGTAGATAAGAGCAACTTCTTCAATCCAGTCCATCCATCACAACACTGAATTGATCCATTGTCATAGAATGGGGAAAAATCTGCCTAAGATGTATCCTTAGGTCCTTTAGAACCAGCCATACCCTTGTGTGGGACGGGGACAAGCACATGGAAGCCCTGAAGTATGAGGGGCAACGAATGTAAGTCCACACACCCAGCACGCACTCTGATTTCTTTCTCCTGTACACTAGGAGACTCACACAGGAGAATATCAGGTTTGCTTGTTGGTTGCTGGCCAATTTTTGCTATTACAAAACATGTTGGGTAAAAAGACAACATGTCTTAGCTCTTGGACAAACAGAGCATCCAGCATTTTTGCTTGAGGAGTTTTTCTTTTGGTTTGGTTTTGGGGCCACACCAGCAGTGCTTGGGCTTACTCCTGTCTCTGTGCCCAAGGATCACTCCTGGCACGGCTCAGGGGACCATATACGGTACCAGGGGTTGAACCCTAGTAAAAGCATACAAGGTAAGCACCCTATCTGCTGTACTATATCTCCAGCCCCACTTATCACTTGAAATTCTCTTGCTTTTGTAATAGCACAAATATTTAGGAGGACATACTAAGGTCCCTTCCACTTGGCAACTAGCTCATCAGAATGGAATTTGTTATCAGTTTTTAGTAAGGTTAGGATCAAGTGACAAGAATACCCTGGTAACTTCAGTACAGATCTTAAGAAACTTTTCTTTTTTTGTTTTTGTTTTTGTTTTGGCATCATACCGGGCTCTGAGGTCAGGAATCACACCTGACAGTTATTCCTGAGTTACTCCTGCCTCTGTCTAAGGAATTACTCCTGGGAGTGCTTGAGGGAGCATATGAGGTCTCGGAGATCAAAATGGTCAGCCAGGTGCAGAACTAGCACCCTATGTGCTCTGCTGTACTCTCCCTCCAGCGCTTAACTTATCTTCTGGTCCCATTTACATCAGCGATTTAACCTGTTGGCTGAGAGAAATGCTGAAGGTTGGCTACGAACAGATGAGGCAGCTCCCACATCAACTGAGAAATGGTCTAGGGTGACCTCAGGCTCTCACCTGTGAAATGAAGTCAGCCAGGTGGCCTGCGGGAAGCCTCTTGTCCCTTGTTTCTGCTCAAGTGTGACCTGCATTCAGCCTTCCAGCCCACCCCCTCCTAGGCTGGGAGACGCATGCTTCCTGAAACTTCGTCTTGAACACTGAGGGTATGCCAGTGTAATGACTCTAGATGTGGACATTTCCCACACCCGTGTCATCTTTTCCACACAGATTCATTGCCGCCTCTGACTGGTCTGGTCTGGAGCAAACACCTGGCTTGTAGCCTGGCTCTAGGGTTCGCTTGAAGTTCAAGGCATTCTTTACAGCAGCGGCATGCAAGTGGGCCTGTCTTGTCCATTGAACTGTCCCTTTGACTTCCTGTTTCAGCAGCTTGATCTTGATTGTTAAGTCTTCTAAAAGTAAGAGTTTATGGGGCCGGAGCAATAGCACAGCAAGGAAGGTGCTTACCTTGTATGCGGCTGACCCAGATCCCCAGCGTCCCATATGGTTCTCCAGGCACCACCAGGAGTAATCCTTGAGCATAACCAGTTGTGACCCCAAAACAAAAAAGAATAGTAAAAGTGAGGGTTTAGCTGACTTTTGAATCATCTTTGTTACATCAGGGGCACATTGGTTCATGGGGGAAAAAAAAAGAGGTTAATGGAGGCTGGCAATATTCTGATGCCAATCCAATCCCTGACATCACATAGGGGTCCCCAGGCACTGCTGGGAGTGATCCATGAGCAAAGAGCCAGGATTAACCTTAAGCATAGCCATGAATGGCCCAAAGTCTTCCCAAGTTAAATTTTTTTAAGAGTGACAGACTGGACAGATAGTTAAACTGCCTTCACATGACTGACCCAGGTTCAATTTCTGGCAGCACAGATAGTCCCCTGTGCCCCACCCCTCACCACCCAGGTGTGACCCCTGAGCACAAAGAGTAAACCTTGAGTACCACTAGGTGTATGCCCAAAACAAAACAAAATATTTTTTTCAAGGGCTATTTTAGTTCTCCTGGCCTGAGGTTGAGGATTCATGTTTGTATATTTTCCTTTGGGCCTGAGCAACAATCAGCTGGTAGAATGCTTGTCTTGGACATGACCAACCCAAGTTTGATCCCTGGCACCCTATCTGGTTCCCCGAGCCCTATCAGGAGTTATTCCTAAACATAGAGCCAGGAGTAAGCTCTGAGCTCTGCCAGGTGTGGCCCAAAACAAAATGAAAAACAGAAAAATAAGAAAGACTTCCTTTAACTTCTCATCATTAACAGCCCTCTAAGTAGCAACCAGGAACTGGAGCGATAGCACAGCAGGTAGGAAGTTTGCCTTGCACGCATCCGACCTAGGTTCGATCTCCAGCATCCTGTGTGGTCCCCTGAGCACCACCAGGAGTAATTCCTGAGTGCATGAGCCAGGTGTAATCCCTGTGCATTTCTTGGTATGACTCAAAAAGCAAAAATAATAATATAATAATAAAATTAAAAAATAAAGAGTAATCATACAGCTTCCCAGTCTCCTGTTATCTCTTCCTCATCCCAACTTGGTTCCAATCAGCTGATTGGCTGTTGGCTGTTAAATCAGATGGCACTGATTTGGTTGGTTCTGCTGATCAAAATTCAACTGTATGAGCTGTGTAGATGCTGTGCTCAGATTTTTTTTCTTTCTTTCATTTTTCTTTTCTAGGTTAGGAGGAAATGAATAGAGACATACCTTCTGCCCAGATATTCCTCCCAGACCTTGTCTTAATGTCCCAAAGTTTAATTACTAGGACAGGGACGCAGCCCTGAACTAGGCTCAACACTTTGGTTTGTGCCCAGACCTTTCTCCTTGGGGTGCAACTATTGCACATCCACCCAATTTAGCACAAAGAGAGAGCCAAGAATATCTCTATAATTTTTTTCTTTTGATGGGGAGAAAGTAGGGGGAGTAGGGTCATACCTGGCCATGCTCAGGGGCTATTCTGTCTCAGTACTTAGGAGTGACCCCTGGCAGGGGACTACAAGTGGTGCCAGGGAATGAGCTTCCTTTTTTTTTTTTTTTTCGCTTTTGCTTTTTAGGTCACACCTGGAGGTGCAGAGGGGTTACTTACTCTTTGCACTTGGGAATGACTCCTGGTGGTGCTGGGGGACCATATGGGATGCTGGGAATCGAACCCAGGTTGGCCGCGTGCAAGGCAAATACCCTACCCACTGTGCTATTGCTCCAGCCCCTGAAGAACTTCTGAGAAATTTCCTTTCCATTTTTTTTTCCCAGTGGGGAGAAACACAGTTACTCCTGGCACTGTGCTCAAGGTTAACTCCTGGGGGTGCTCAGGGATTGAACTTGGTTGAGATGCATACAAGGTAAGAGCCTTACCCTTGTCCTATCTCTAGCCCAACATGACGTTTTTTTTGGTGGGGGTGACACCCAGCAATGCTCAGGGGTTACTCCTGGCTCTGCACTCAGGAATCACTCTTGAAAGTGCTTGGGGGACCATATGGGATGCTGGGGATTGAACCTGGGTTGGCCAGGTGCAAAGCAAGTACCCTCCCTGCTGTACTATGATGCTCAGGCCCCAACACATTCTTTCTTAGTGAGGCCTTTAATTTCTCCTCCATGGGGAGGACATGAGCTGCCTGAAAGACCCAGGGTGACTCAGGTGAGCATAGAGAGCAACACTGACCCTTTAGGGTTACAACAGCATGAAACAATACCCTGCAAAGTCTTATCATTTACTGTCCTGCGGGCTGGCTCAAAGCTCAAAGCAGAACTCTGAGCAAGAGTGAACTCTTTGCAGCTGGAGATTCCAGATTCAGTTCTTGGGAGGGAGCACTGGGGTGGCCCAATAACGAACAAATAAAGGAGGTATATTCTCATGCATAGGTTCTTTAGGGGGGAACCTTGAAAACATTATGCTGAGATAAAATGTTACACAAAGACAAGGGCTAGATTGTTTCCACTCATATGATTTCAGGAGGGAGTGAGTAAGCCCAGACAAATTCATGGAGACGTGGGGCTGGTCAGAGTTCAGCGAGTAGGGGAGGTGCTTACCTTGCATTGCGGCTCACCAGCTACACCCTGCATCTCTGAATCTCTAGAACTTTTGGGAAAGTGCAGGTCCCTACTTTGGTGTTCAAATTTTTCTTTTTGCTTTTCTTTGTTACCCTGCAAGAATCCCGCTCTCCCTGTTACTGCCGGTGCCCTCCTCCCAGCGGATGATCTGGGCCAGCAGAAACAAGCTTGGAGTACGGCTTTCTGCTCCGCCGGGTTTGGGGGAGAAGAGGGCGAAGTGAGGGAGAGGCGGAGTCGCGGCCCGAGCAAATCTCTGGGCTGCCTTAGGATCAGGAGAGGGCGGGCAGGGGCGGAGGGGGCGGGCTAGGGCGGGTCCTGGAGCGAAACGAGCGGGGTGGGCGGAGCCAAGCCTGCAGGTGAGGGGCGGGGTCGTTATGTAAGAATGAGGAGGGGCGTGCCGAATGGTGTGGGCGTGGTCACGCCGCTTAGGGGCGGGTCTCGGCTCGAATGGGCGAGGCCGGCCGGCGGGTGGCGCGGTGGTCAGGCTTCTTGGGGGTGGGGCGGTGCGGGGCCGGTTCCAGAGCTGGCGGGAGACCCCGCAGTCGTCGCTGGTGTGATGGGACCTAGGGAGGCGCGGGAGGGGGCGCCTGCAGCGCTCCAGCGACCCCCGCTGGTCGGCCCGCGCTATCTTTAGGATGAGGACCCGCGGGTGTTCTCTAGTTTGGAAAATAAAAGTGGCCTTGAGGACAGTATGTGCACAAGAGCGCATGAGCCGGTGTGTACTGGCAGGAAAGTGCGGGGTCTGGTGCGTGGAAGAGTGTTTCCGTGTTTGGGTATGCGTGGATCGTGTGTGTGTGTGTTCGGGTTGGAGGGGTGTGCAAGGGTGGGAAGTGGGACCTGCACACTTGTGCCTGTGTGCGTGTGTTCTAGAACTAAGTGGTCTCTGTCCTGGATATCGTTCGGCTTTGCTATCTTCTGTAACCCTCGCCCACAGCGCTTTTCCTCCTGGTCTCTTCTGTGTCCTGACAGAGTCCAGTGACATGCTTGGCATGCTATATTTGATCACTTGACTTCCCATTAATCCTCGAGTTGCTTGAGCGGGCGCCAGTAACGTCTCCATTTTTCCCTGTGGCATGCTAGTGTAGCCCAATGGCGTCTGTTCGTTCTAGGAACACGAAGAGCCACAAACCGATCGTTCATGATCTTGATGAAGCAGTCTGACCATCTGGTAGGTGGGTGGCCGCACGGTCTTTTGACATCCTGTAGAATCCAGTCGGTAACAGCTCTAGTCCAGCGGTCATCTTTAAATCTCATTACGTGACCAGCCTATCTGATTTTTGACAGTTTGCCAAACGAGACAGCGTCCCTGATTCTTGATTGTCGATGGAGGTCGGAACTCCGAATTCTTTCTTTCATTTGAGTGAAACGTGATATTCCAAGCATAGCTCTTTCAATTCCTCTTTGGGAGACCTGAATAGCGTTCTCATCCTGTTTGCATAGGGCCCAGGTCTCTGAGGCGTATGTTAATGCAGGAAGAGCAGTGGAATCCAAGAGATGTGCCCGGAGCCAGAGGTTCTTCATCCTCTTAGCTATTTCTTCGATGTTCTTGAAGGCGGTCCAAGCCGCTCTCTTCCTCCTGCGCAGCTCGGGTGCCAGGTCATTTGTCATGTTGACTTCTCGACCTAGGTACACATAGCTGTTACATTCAGAGATGGTCGTTCCGTTGAGAGCAAATGGGGCGTCAGGAACAAGGCTGTTTCTCATAAACATTGTCTTCGTAAGATTCAGCTGTAGTCCTACCTTTCCACACTCACGGTCAAAGTCAGCCAGCATTTGTGCCGCTTGGCTGACGTTTGGTGTTATTAAAACAATGTCATCAGCAAAGCGGAGGTGGTGTAGTTGCCGACCATCTATCTTCACTCCCATTGCTTCCCATTCCAGTTGCCGCATGATGTTCTCGAGGGTGACACTGAAGAGTTTCGGTGAAATGGTATCACCCTGCCGAACCCCTCTCTTGACATCAATGATTACTTCTTTGTAGAATGGTGAGATCCTGGTAGTGAATCCGTAATACAGCTCACAGAGGATCTTGATGTATTGAGCTTGAATGCCCTGATTGGCTAGGACATGCTGTATTTATTTTCTTTTATTTACTTGTTTTTGTTTTGGGGCCACACTTGGCAGTGCTCACGACTTGCCCTTCCCCCTCTGCACTCGGGAATCACTCCTGGTTGTGCTCAGGGGACCATTTGGGGATATCAAAGATCAAGCCCAGGTCTGCCACATGCTAGGCAAGGGCCTTACCCACTATACTATCTCTTCAGCCCCTCTTTTATTTAGTTTTAGTTTTGGGCCACAGCCAGCGGTGCTCAGGGCTTACTCCTGGCAGGCTTGGAGGAGTTATGTGGGATTGAACCAGGTTGGCTGCACACAAGACAAGTACCCTGCCCTGACCAGGCATGTGGTGGGCCCTGCGTTGATGCTTGTATCTGTCTGTGTGTCAGTCTCCAGGATTATGTGTGGAACTGAGGACCAGGTCGGGTAGACTCTCATCAGAAAAAGTTGAAAGCATTCCTTCCATTTGGGTCCTGGAGGTTTTTCCTTTACCCAGTTTCTGATCACTGGCCTCAGCTCTGGGCTGCCCACTTGGGTGACAAAGTGCAGTTCATCTGTGACATGGTCACCACGAACCCAGACAGCCAGACTGCTCCTGTCTGATGCAGTTCAGTAGTTAGATCAGAAAGAATGAGGGCTGTGGCTAGAGCCATCACACAGCAGGTAGGGGCACTTGCCTAGTATGTGGACAACCCGGATCCCATATGATCCCACGAACCACCAGAAGTAATCCCTGAAAACAGAGCTAGGAAAAAACACTAAGCACTACTGGGTGTGAATTCCCAAAAAAGAAAGGGGGGAGAGAGGAGAGAGTGAGGGAGAGAGAGAGAGAGAGAGGGAGAGAGAGAGAGAGAGAGAGAGAGGGAGAGAGAGAGAGGGAGAGAGAGAGAGAGAGAATGAGGGCTGATTTATGGCATCAATCCTCAGGTCCTGCTAACAAGTTGGATCTTGGGTCTCTGAGATTCTCTGAGATTCTTCCCCTCCCTAGTGGTCCTAGAGTACAGACCAGCCTAACATGCAGCAGGTATGTCCCCCCTGAGTGCACACATGCATGCGCGCGCGCACACACACACACACACACACACACAACACACAAGCACGCCTCCTCCCAGCACTGACTTCTCAGTCCTGTGACCTGTCATGTCCTCTCTGCTTCCCACTGTTGTCCATAATCCATCTTGGTTTTTTTGTTTGTTTGTTTTTTTGTTTTGGCTTTTCAGGTCACATCCGGTGATGTACAGGGGTTACTCCTGGCTTTGCTCTGGAATTACTCATGGCGGTGCTTGGGGGGGACCATGTGGGATGCTGGGAATCGAACCTGGGTCGGCCGCATGCAAGAAGAATGTTCTACCCACTGTACTATTTCTGCAGTCCCAATTCATCTTTGTTCACTTGATCACTTGATATCTCGTTACTCATCGATTTGTTCGAACGGGCGCCAGTAACGTTTCCATGCATCCCTGTTGCGTGCTAGCATAGCCCAATGGCATCTGCTCATTCTAGGAACATGAAGAGCCTCAAACTGATCGTTCAGGGTCTTGACGAAGAAGTCTGACCATCTCGTAGGTGGGTGGCCACGCAATCTTTTGACATCCCTTGGAATCCAGTCAGCAATGGCTCTAGTCCAGCAGTCGTCTCTAAATCTCATTACATGTCCAGCCCATCTGATTTTCGATGCCTTGGCAAACGAGACAGTGTCCCT